AAAGAAAAAATTATATTACTTTTAAATAAAATATAAAAAATTTTAATTTTTTCGTTTAATTTGCAAATTTTGTTTATTAAGTAATATTTTTTTATGATAAATTAATGTAAAAAAAGATAATAATCACTTAATATTATTAAAAACAAAAAAACAAAGTTAAAATTAATTAGATAAGTACTAATTAAAATCGTGACCAAAAATTAAAAAATTAAAATAGATAAATTTGTCAATAAAATTAAAAAAATTTCAATCCACTAGTGATTTAGTATAAAAAATTTTCTTAGATGATTTTTTCAATCTGATAGTAATTTAAATCATAATTACTATCTACTAATCTCAAACTATTAAATAAAAAATTTGCCAAACACTTATTCTTAGTGGTGTAAATAAAACCATTAATTGTTATCTACAAATTATTATATCAAACGAAATCTTAGCCGAGATTTAATGTGACTTTCAAATATTAAAAAAAGAAAAGAAAAGAAAAGAAAAGAACGAGGGCAGATACAGCTAAAACACAATTAACCTTCATTTCAGGATCAAAATTGAAGACAAAAACACGAGTGTCAATTGTCAAAAACACATGTCTCGTATTCCCACAAGTCCTCCAAGTTTATTTTACAGAAACTAATTAGAAATTCCATCACGAGGTTTGTCCTCAAGGACAAATTATTATACGACGTCTGATTCAAAATATTGCTTGAATTTTGGTTCAAATTAAGGTCGTTTCGGCGCAACGTCCAGGCACCAATCTTACGGATTCACTCCACTTTCCACCGCCCCAAAATCTAGTCAAGCTTTTCTTGACCTTGCTCTCAGACTTGTTGACTTCATTCTTAATTGTATTCACAACCTTTTTATACGAAAGAAGACTTTTTCTTGCTTTCTCATTTTATGTCCTGGTCTCCCTGAGAGATAGGTTCCATCACCATCAGCAATGACTGAAATTTCGCTCGAAATTATTGTGTAATGTTGTGTCTTATTATGAAAAAGAGAAAAGAGAAGACTCAATAAAAAACATTTTGAAATATTATTAGTTTATATAAAAAAAACAAATATTCTTAATTAGAATAAGGAATACAGCAAAACACTATGTGACTATTTCCAAATCCCATCTAATTTCTCCTATGATTCTATACTAATCTAATGAGTAATTCGAATTAGAGAAATGATTTTGAGACAACTTTTTTGTATTACATTTTAGTGCAATCTGAGGTGTTAGTTAAATGATTGATTTTTTTTATTCATGTAGGACATGTGATATTTAATGAATACACTCATTTAATGACATGTGAAAGTTGTATAAAAAGGTGATATAAAAATGTTATCTTATATCATTACCTTTGGAATTAACCCAAAACTTGGAATTACTTTTACATCCAAAATAAAATTTAAAGAAAACTAATAAGTGGGAAACCCTGCCATTTTGGGCTCTTTAAGTAATTTTATGCCCAAACAAAGGAAATTGAATCTATCAATTAAGATACTGTTACCAAAAACTATTTCAACTTTATATAAGAACCTTTATATAGAGCCTTAAGTAATTTATTGACTAAGAGATTTTAAATCTACCATAATAATAATATCAAATCTAAGATTTACTCTCATAATTATATAATTAATCATATTTTATAGCATCTCCATCAGCTATAATTAAGTATTTTTCTTAATTAAAATTACTACAAATATATGAAAGCATATTTAAAATTATCATCAATCACATACTCCTGCTCCTTTTTAATTATTGTTCTAAAAAATTTCTTATCTTTTTTTTATTGATATTTGGATTATACAATGAGATGTAACTTTCTCCAATCCCATACATATACAAGGCTGGTGCTGAAACTGGAGATCATCTGTTTTTCTCTTGTTCATATATATTCAAGCTACATTTGGGAGCAAAGACTTCTAACATGACTGGCATCTTTTGCGCGGCTGGTTATGTGGGATGCTAAAGCGTAAGGCCTT